GTTTTCTTTGCGTACTACAGTTTCCTCCCACAGACCAAAAACATGCATGTTAGACTAATTGGTAACTCTAAATTGTCCCTAGGTGTGAGTGAGAGAGTGAATGGTTGTTTGTCTCTATGTGTCCCTGTGATGGACTGGAGACCTGTTCAGGGTGTCCTCCGCCTCTCACATAGTGACTGATGGATATGGGCACCATGCAGTGACCTCCACGACCAGAAAAGGAAGAAGAGGGTAAAGATAATGGATGGATTGATACAATAATATTAGCTCTAATAAAGACAAAAGATACAGAGTAACACCCCCCCACCCCCCCCATAACAGTCCACTGAATTGTGAACCACTTCCTTCTTTTTTCCAGTTCCTTCACAAAAATGCAAAAACAAGGAACTTGATGTCATGCCTAAACTCTTTGTTATTGGCTTTCAAAACATCAGTTTCATGTTTTGCAGCATTCAGCATCTCTGTCATACACTGAGCATGCATCAGGATATCTCTGTCCTACATTTTTTATTTGCACTTGACCAATTTTTGACCGCTGAGCAGAAGATTTATCTTATACTGAACATCCAGTACTCTGAGTGCAGAAAAAAACAACAACCTGTGTTTATACCGGAGAGTATCGTTAGTTACTTCTTGCTGCATACACATACTGTAAAATTCATGACCATTGGTGCCACTTGGCAGCAACATATTGATTTTAAGCCCACTGACCCTTCAGGCTGCTGTAGGTAGTTCTTCATGGCTTTAACTTGCTGGAAGTGGCAGGACATATCTGTGGCCAGCACCATCTCAATCACCAGAGCTCTCAGCTCTCTGAGTGAAAAAAAGAAGAGAACAAACAAAAGCAAAAGGGCTCAATTCAGCTCATTGAACTAATATGTATTAAAGGCATTAAAAGCTGCTTAAATGACCTATAATACCTGTTTTCACAAGCACCAGCTTCTGACATGAGAAATCAGAGTCGCCATCACTCACATGCAGTGCATGCATGCATGTGCAATCACAAAACAGCTTCATTTAATTAAAACTGGCTAAACCCTAAAGACTATATGTGTTTTGATTATGGTTTAGAGGTGATGTGTACCATGAGACTGTTCTGCTTGATCCGTCTGTCATGCATCAACAATTTGTTGTTAAATGTTCCCACAAATTTTTATTCCATTTGCTCTCATTGGTTTCCAAACTTTTTCAGTCTCTTGTTATCTTTTTGCTCAGATTTGTGTGTCACAAACCTCCAGTCATCCTTAGAGAGGTTGTAGAGGATGTTCATTTCATCGTCCTCCTGCAGCAGGCGATAGGCTGCGCTGACGTGATGACTCTCCAAAACCGAACGATCATTATACAGGATAGCTGTGTCTGACCTGTCAGATTAGGAGGAAAATCAAACAAATGGATCAGATTGTACAGATAAAAAAAGCAAAAGTGACCAAATGTGGACTTCCTTCATGTTGTAGCAGTACTCTTACAGTGGCATTGTTGCAATCAGACATTTTCTAACTCTTTTGTATATCACTTGTGCTCTAATTTAATTTTGTTTGGCCATTCAAACTGTAATAGATGATCTTTTCAAAATACTGCAAACATCCTTAAATCCTTATTTAAAAAAATATGTATCAAAAGAGGAGAAAGTCTTCCAAATTGGAAAATAAAGAAAGTTAAAAGATCTGAAATCAAATAAGATAAATAAATAACTTTTGTTTAGGTAAAAAGCATACATTTTAGTCTTTAGCTTGTAACACTCAGGAATCTATCATTTGTTTAACAAAGTAAAAATGTTTTTGCGAGGTTTCAAAATTTGGAGCTCATCTGCACATCCATCCCATTATTACTTCACTGCAGGCGAGCACAGTGTGATCGCCTGCAAACATTGATTGGGTGAGTCAGAGCCATGCATTTTTGATTTCATCATCCATTACCTTGTCTGGATGTGAAAGTTGTTTGTGGTCCCTGTGTGCTCGTAGTCGTGCACCGCAGCCGCAAAGATCATGGCAAAGATCTCAAGTTCAGTCAACCAATGCTTGAGGGAAAAGAAAAAACAAAAAAAAGGAGGAGAGGGGATGGAGGAGGAGTCAGAGAAGAATAGAGGGGTAAAGATAAGGCGGAGGGGGAAATAAAAGAGATTACAAAGGAGAGGGAGAAGCATTAGGCATGGGAGGAAACAAGACAAGTCAGAGAAAATGACAGGAAAGGAAGAGGGGAACATAATGAACACAGGAGAAGGGAATAGACAAAGATCAGATGAGAAATGAGATGCCATTGAAGGAACATACAGGGAACGGAACATTAAACCATAAGGATGTTGATGTAAAACATGCAACAACAAAAAAAATGGCATCAGGAATACATTAGGGTGAGGGGCAAAAGTAAATAAGACAATAAGGGAGAAGGAGAGGGAGAAAAAGTTAGAAAAACAAAAAGAAAACTTAGATAAAGCTAATTCTATTGAAAAAAATAAACATATTTAAACTGCCTCTAACACCCACTTCCTCTTTCTGTCAGCCTTTCACAATTATAAAATATAAATACAAATGAAAAGTTCACGCTCTATGCAAGTCTCTTATTAGGTAATGCTATTAAAAGGTCACAGGGCAAACCACGTGTTTCTATTTAGGATTATGGGTCATGCTCACTGTTGAATATGGCAGGCATCGGTAAATAGATGGCAGTTATTGTGATGATGCTTAGAATTGATTAATATATTAGTAAAAGTGTAAAAATGAATGATGATACACTGTGCTCACATCCACAGTGAGGGGACTGAGCTCAGGAGACCCAGTCCATATTGGTAACTAATCATCTGTTGGTGGGGGAGTCATTAGGAACAGGGTGGGGACAAGATGGCCAATCTAGCAGCCAGTATTTCTTCATGGGCCAGTTTCTTTATGAATGACCTGTTGAATGTTGATTTACTGGAGTCTGGAGGGGTTTGCACAATGATATATGCTGTTCAGCTCTCCAAAGAGTCTGTGGTTGAGGCAGTAATGTGGTTTACTCTGCAAGGCACAGCCCCAAGAAACACACCATGTCAACAGCTGTTACAGCCACCTTATTAGGGTGATTAAATAAAAACAGTAGGAGCGGGGGCGGCCCTCTGGATAGCTAGCTGAACTCAGACTTGAAGGATATTTTTTAAGCAAATGTGTCACAAATGCCCCAAAGTCCTTCCCGTTGGAAGGAGAAAAATAGGGGTCACTTCAGGAAAAAACACCAAAACAAAAACGCTAACTCTTTACAAGAAGGTACACAAAATTTGATTAACTACTAGGGAACGTTTCAGGAATGAATCAGGATCTATGGGTAGTTGACCAGTACTTATTGGGGAACACACAGCCAAGCCTTACTAGGGGACTATTGGTTAGTTATCTTTTAAATGAAGAATAACTAATCAATAACTAATGGGTAGTTACTAAGGAAACCAAAGAGGCATGAATCAGGAGCTAATAGGTAGTTAATCAGTACTTACTGGGGAACACACAGCCAAGCTTTATTAGGGGTCTACTGGTTTGTTACCACAGAAATTGTTAATGGCTTTCATCAATAGGTTTACAAAAGAGAAAATCCAATAAAATAAGTAATCACTAGGAAACAAGGGCTGCACAGTGGTACAACTGGCAGAGCTGCTGCCTCTCAGTGAGAAGGTCGCCGGTTCAAATCCTGGTTTGGGGGCCTTTCTGGGTGGAGTTTCCATGTTCTCTCCGTGCATGTGTGGGCTTTCTCTGCGTACTCCGGTTTCCTCACACAGACCAAAAACATGCAAGTTAGGCTGATTGGTAACTAAATTGTTCTTAGGTGTGAGTGAGAGAGTGAATGGTTGTTTGTCTCGTTTGTCTCTATGTGTCCCTGTGATGGACTGGAGACCTGTCCAGGGTGTCCCTCGCCTCTCGCACTGTGACTACTGGACATGGGCACCAGTGACCCCCATGACCCGAAAAGGAAGAAGTGGGTAAAGATAACAGATGGATGGACTAGGAAACAGGTTTTTGACCATTACGAGCTGTGACCTCACTGTTGCAGGGTTCATTCAGAACCCACATGGATAATTTATCCTCTGTTTCTGTGGTAACAAACCAATAGTCCCCTAATAAGGCTTGGTTGTGTGTTCCCCAGTAAGTACTGGTTAACTACCCATTAGCTCCTGATTTATTCCTGATTAGTTCCTGAGACGTTCCCTTGTAGTTAGTCAAATTTTGTGTACTTTATTGTAAAGTGTTACCAAGTAAGGTAAAGTGCATTGAGAGTATTTTTTCCCCATTGAATTGTTAGTTCATGGATTTTCCAGGATAAAAAGAAAGCCATATTTAGATGCTGTATGTCAGGCAAAGCAGCAATTAGGCTAGCATGCGACAAATGCCATATTCTGAAAACCACAGGGGATAAACGTTCTTGATTTCACAATATAAGCTTCAATACATTGGTACGCCATCACAACATTCAACTTGTTTATGTTGATGCTAAGATTGGTGTGTATCCTACTCACCACCATGCCAGTCTTGAGGAGCAGGTAGTGGACAGTCTGTGTGACGTCGGCAGCATGGATTAGATTGTGGTATGGGTTCTTATGTTTGCTGTATCCAACTTCAAGGGCTTCCACAAAAGACACCACTGCAGAAATCGGGATCTGACGCCAGACAAAACCCAGAATTATCTAGGAGTTAGAATCACTGCAAACTACATTAACTAGTGTCTTAAATTATGTGATTCAAATGTGTGCAACTGGTATGAAATCATTCAGGTGGTGCAGGCTATGATTACATTTTCCTATCAGCTTCACTGGCTTTGCCATTTACTCCCAGATGCTTTCACTACCAGTGAATTGTCCCCAGCGATTAGAATCTGTAGAAAATGAGCTGCACGGCTATCTGAGGAGACGAAGTGCGGCAGGACCCTTTCAGAATATTACCATTGTTGAAAAAACGACAATCTTGATCTTAAGGGTCTGCAAAGAGCGTGCAAGCTTCCATCAAACTGGACTCATTGAAGGTTATTGTCAGCTATGAAGGGTGTTACTCCTTCTATTGATGGCAGGAAAAAAGTGTGTAATGATCTGTAGTGTAACACGATACATCCTTGTGCCTTTACCTTGAAACGACTAATGAGATCGTATCTTGTGAGCAACTCGTAGAATATGAATTTAAGTGCGTGATCTCCGCTGGCTTCGTTCAGGGCAAACACATCAAATGACCACTTGTCAACATTCTGCGTAAAAAGCAAAACAAAAAAAAAAAAAACGTTAAGCAGCAACCTTTATTTTTCAAACAAAAAATAATTTAAAAATGATGCATGTGTGCGCATGTTGTTTGGTTTTGCTCTAACGTGTGACATAATACCTTTAGCACAGATATGACAGTTGCGGGGTAACTGAGTCCCACCATATTGGAGGTACGTCGGTACATCCTGTTTGGATGAGATAAAAAACATCAAATGAAAAGCACTGCTGAGAGGGAACACTAAAGGTTACAACACTGGCCCCAAACCACAGCCTGGAAGGTTCCCCACTAAGACTAAACCTTCAAATCAACACAACCCAGTGTGAAATGTGGTAGAAAGGTTAAGTTGTGACAAAATAAGTACTTTGTGAAGTCTGTTTTTCCACGTGCTAATGAGTTTAGGTTTCATCTCACAGTGGGTATAACTTCCCATTAAATTCATGGAGTCACAAGACTCAGTCACAGAATTAACTGGAGATGCTCTTAAACGTGCGTAGAATACTGTGAAATGTGATTTTAATATTGATGCAGTGAAATTCGAATTAACAATTTTACCAGGACAGGTCATAACTATAAATGTGAATCGTCGTGGACTACTGGAGCAGATTGTTGCACCTTATTTCTCTCATCCTCCCTTTTTCCTAATCTTACTTCATTTTACGAGCAGAGTGCCCTCTGTAAAGAACAGATTAGGAAAGATTACAGCTTACATGGTTGAAGCTTACTGATATAAACAAATGTGTGTTGCATGTTACTGTGTGATAAAGCACAGCCTTGGAGAAAAAGCTGTCTGCCTGTTACACTCTGAATGACTGTGATTAGCCAGGCTTGCCAAGGCCGTGGTGATGTATCGCTGACTCAGGTCAGGCTGCTTTCTACAGGAATGGCACACATTTTCAAACAGATTGAGAATCTCAATCAGTAATTTATTAACGAAATGCTACAGCATCAAACTTTGAGTCATTTATCTTATTCTGAGCTGACTTTAGCTTCAGTTCATTTTGGTGCGAGTAAAGGCTGATTTAAGGGTTTGTGATTTATTTGTGTGAATGTTTATGAAACATTCACTCTATTGTGATCCATTTTTCTTCCGTACATTTTTCAGCATCCTTTTTGTTCCACAATTTTTTGTGCTTTTTCAACTAATCTTACATCAAAACGTTAAGCTCTTTCAGGACAGTCTTGCTATGACTCTTGGTATTGTTGCAACTTTAGCTTTTAGAAATATTTAGCCTTTTCTGCCATTTTGTTCTTATAGAAAATGAACAGAGCTCATTTTACATCCTTCAAATCTTCAGATCTGTTTACAACCTTTTACTGCTCCTTTCACATTTTGTTCTTTTAACTTCCATCTATGTCCTTGTGCAAATTTAAACTTTTTCAGCTACTTACAGCTATTTATCAGCTGTTTTATGATCCTTTCGGATTCCTTCTGCTAACTACAACATTTTAGTGCTTCTTCTAACTTCTTTCTGCTAATTTTAGCTTATTATGCTCCTTTCAGTTTTTTCTGCTTGTTTCATCATTTTCTGCTATTTCAGCTACTATTTAGCTGTTTTATACTCACTTTAGCATTTTAGCCAATTCCAATTTTTTGCACTCATTTAAACTTTTTTCAGCCTAATTCAGCAAAAATGTGTTCTTGCCACTTCCTTTTCCTAATTTATGCTTCTTTCAGCTTTTTAAAACACTTTCAGCTGTTTTTGCTAGCTTATTTTTGCAGATAATTCCCACTGTTTTGTGCTCATTTCTGCTTCTTTTGACATAATTGGGCAAATATTCTTTCTGATTTATTCTGCTAAATTAAGCTTGTTCTAACTTTTCAACTATATA